CCATTCTTTTTTCTTGTTCTTTCTCTCTATCCCTACATTTCAAAAGCTGTTTCGTTTATACACATTTTTTATATTGCTCCATTCTGTTTCAACATCCTCTGTATGTTCACAGTATTCCTTCAGTTTTTTGCTTATATCTTCTGCATATTTAATTCTTCTATCTGTAGCATTAAATTTTTCTATGTACCATTTGTCCTTTGTTATCTTGTTTTTTAGCGTTCTTTTGACTTTTTGTCTTAACGTTGCGGTAACCATGAAATGGTCTGTGTCTGCATGTGCACCTCTGTATGTTCTCACGTCTGTTATCGATGTTTGCTTTCTCTTTGTGATGAGTATATGGCATATTTGGGACCATGTTTTTTGGTCTGGTGATACCCATGTTACTTTGTGGTATACAGGGTGTGCAAATTTTTGTACTACTGACAATCATATTGGTGCTAGTTGCTAAGTTGCATAATCTTTGACCATTATCGTTTGTTTTTTCACGTAATGTATATTTACCTGCAACTTGGTTAATGTAGTCTTCTTTGCCTATCTGAGCGTTAAAATCTCCCATTACCAGAATTGTGTCTTCTTTGGGTAAAGATTCAATTTCTTGTTCCAGTTTCTCATAAATGTTATCTGGTATTTTACTACTATCCATTCTGCAAATGGTGCCATACGATGACAGAATACTGTTGAAAAGTACGTAATACGTAATTCTTCTGTGGTTAAAGATATCTCCTTTTTTGTAAGTGGTAAAAAGTATTCCCATATTTAATCCTTCGGTACGATTTCTGTATCCATATTTCTTATATATGCTTCTGTAATGACATTATAGTATCGTGGCCACCTGCTTTATATAGTTTAGCTGAGAGATAATCTATTCCGAATGATTTGTTTGTGGCTAGTTATTTAACTTCATCTTTTATTTCAAGAATCGTTGGTGGTTCTTCTTCCATCTCATCTGTTCGTCTTTCTCATCTCTTTTGTCTTCCAGATTTTCTTCTACTTCCTCTATATTAAGTGTCTGTAAAGTATTTCATCCATCTACTCAATACATTTTTCCTTGTTGTTAATAGGCCGCCATTATGACTTCTACATTGTCTTGTGGTTGCCTTGAATTATTTTCTGTTGATGTTAACTTTCTTATAGAATGCTCCGAATAGTTTCTCTCTGTTGAGGTTTTCTATATATTTATGATTCTTATTATGTGCTTTTATTTTTTTACTGGTGTTTAAAATTCTATAGTTCAAGATTACTGATCAATGATCTAAGTCTATGATTGCGCCTCTAAAACTTCTGCAGTTTATTACGTTTGTTCCATGCCTTGCATCTATTAAGATATGATTAATCTGCCTCGTTTTTCTTTCATCTGGAGAGGTCCAGGTTACCTTGTGTATGTTCCTATGTTACCTTATGTTATTTTAAATACATCAGAAAAAGAGGATATTCTTGCAGAAATGGGTTAAAATTCCTTCTAATATTACTTTAAGTTAGTTGCTAAATTCGGCTAAGCTACTTTAAAATTCAATATATTTTACTGATAGATGTATACATAATTTAAACCAAAACTGCGGCACACTCCATATAAGTGTGATCAGGTTCCTTCTTCTTCTTAACGTGCCCTATCAAGTCCCCTTGACGTTGGCGATTTACATGGCGAAACTGTCTCTGTCTCAAACTATTCTAAAGAGTTGCTCAGCTTTCTTTATTCCTGTCAACTCTCTGATATTCTTCAACCAAGAGGCCTGCTTTCTACCAATTCCTCTGCGTCCTTCGATTTTACCATCATAATAAGTTGAAGAATATCATATACTCCCCTTACTACGTGTCCAAAATAGGCCATCTTTCTACATTTGATGTTATCAAGCAGCTCGCGAGCATCATTTTGCTCTCTCAAGGACTGCCACATTTGTCAGCATAGCCGTCCATGGAATTTTTAGTATACGTCTGTGCAGCCACATTTCAAAGGCCTCCAAACGATTAATGGTGAATATTTTTAATGTCCATGCTTTGACACCGTATAAGAGGACTGACCAAATGTAGCATTTAACCATACAGGTTAAGATACCTTAAATAGATAAGATAACTTTCTTTTATCTTCAAGATAACTTAAACAAAATCAAACTAGACTTGATAAAAACAACAGATGTTAATGACAAATGGAACATGGTACAGGAAACTTTCATAAAAGCACAAGAAAAGCTACAGCAGACAAAAATAAGAAAAAAACAGAGATGGATGACTACAGGAATCTTAGATCTAATGGAGGAAAGAAGGAAATATAGAGGCAAGAGTAAGGCAAAATACAAGGAACTACAGATATTGATAGGAAAGAAAATAAAAGAGGCCAAATCCTCCTGGCTTGCTAATCAATGCAGTAAAATAGAGGCCTAAGTTAAACAGTATGATAGCTTTAACATGTATATAGAAAATAAAGGAAATGACAAATACACTGAGAACAAAGAAAGATGCATTTCTGAAAGACGCAAATGGAAAATTCATTATAGAAATTAAAGAGAAATTATAAAAATGGAAGGGATACATAACAGATCTGTTTGAGGATAATCGACAAGAACCGGAAGAAATCGACAGCGAAACAGGGCCAGAGATAGAGGAAATCGAAAAAGCAATACGAAACGCAAAAAACGGAAAAACTGTAAGTCCAGACGAAGTACCTGCCGAACTACTGAAATGTCTAGACGATGAAAGACTACCTGTACTTCTGGACCTACTTAATGAAGTATATAAAACTGAAAAAATCCCACAGGAATGGTTGGTGTCCACCTTTGTAGCAATACCAAAAACAGTATATGCCAAAGATTGTTCAGACTATAGGACAATATCACTAATAAGCCATACCCTGAAAATATTTCTAAAGGTGATTCACGGAAGATTATATAGAAAACTAGAAGAGGATATGGATGATACTCAGTTTGGATTCCGTAAGAGACTGAAAACGAGAGAGACATTGTTTGCTTTTAATGTCCTCTCTCAAAGATGCTTAGATATGAATCTAGATAATTATTTTTATTTCATTGACTTCAAGAGGGTCCGACATGAAAAACTAATAGAAATACTGAGAAACAAAGATATAGACCGACGAGACTTACGAATCATAGTCAATCTGTATTGGAATCAAAGGCCAATATAAAGATAGAAGAACGAAAGTCCGAAAATATAGATATAAAGAGAGGAGTAACACAGGGCTGTGTTCTGTCACCATTACTATTTAACGTGTACAGTGAAGCCATATTCCAGGAAGCGATAGCAGATCTGGGTGATGGAATCTCTGTAAACGGAAGATTAGTAAATAACATAAGATTCGCTGATGACACCGTTATAATGGCAGATACCCTGGAATCGCTACAAAAATTGTTAAATAGAATTAACGATTATTGTATTAGATATGGACTAAAAATAAATAAGAGAAAAACTAAATTTATGATTGTCTTAAAAACGCAACATGGAAATAAAAGATTAATGATAGAGCAAACCCAAATAGAAAAAGTAGAGACGTACAAATATCTGGAAACCTGGGTTGATGACAAAACTAACCAAAGCAGAGAAATCAAGTTCGAATTGAAACTGCAAGGCAAGCATTTGTGAAAATGAAAACAATGCTTACTAACAGACGCATTCAGTTGCATCTCTGATTGAGGGCTTTAAGATGTTACATATTTTCTATCTTACTATAACGGAATGGAAGCTTGGACATTGAAAAAACAACACATAAGAAAAATAGAAGCGTTCGAAATGTGTTGTTACAGAAGAATGTTAAAAATTCAGTGTTAATCAAACGATTACCAATGCTGAGGTACTACGACGTCTAAATAAGGAGTTAGAAATTATGAACAGCATAAAAAGAAGAAAACTAGAGTATTTGGGTCACATAACCAGAGTAGAAAAATATGAGCTGCTGAGAATTATTATACAAGGAAGGATCCAAGGAAGAAGAAACGTAGGAAAAAGACACATCTCCTGGCCGAGGAACCTTAGAGAATGGTTTAACTATAGTTCACTACAACTTTTCAGAGCAGCAGCCAACAAAGTGACCATAGCCGTTATGATATCCAACCTCCGATAGAAGATTGAATTTTAAGAAGAACAAGGTTCCAGATACTTGTGATGGATCTTAGTGATATAAG